ATAGATTTTCCGATACAAGTAGATCGAAACCTGTACTCGCAAGGAACAGAGGACAGCTTGTAATGACCATAGCATATGCACTAATGCCAGTGGAACTATATCCAGATGGAGGACTGCGTGACCTTCAAGATAATATTCCAACGCCTTCAATTGTCAATGTTAGCCTATATCACACAACCAATACTTGCAGCATGGCCCAGGTTGTCTGCTGATTGAACCTCTTTGTTACTTACCTCTGTATGTAAGTGTGAAGTTAACGGTGATCTGCCCTGCTGCGTTGCTGATGTTCACCATGTACTGACCTTCATCCCAATAGTGCACTCTAGGGATAGTCAATGAGAGCCGATCTGGAGATACAAGGGTGCTTGTAGCCGCTGTCCACGTTGAGTTTCCCACCTGCACACAAAGCATGCCGTCATGCATAATACACGCGAGCACATGTACCAGAATACAAAAGGACACATGCATGCGCAGGTGCGCTCGCAAACATAAAGATACAAACGAGCCCACGCAAATAACCACATAATATGCCCACTGAGTGCTGAACGAGCATAATGATTATAGTTCATGGCTCACATGCGACTGAGTCAGACTGATTTTCCCACAATCGCAGGACGCCCACCATGAAGGCTGAGATGCGGCTCATGCCATAAAGTGGTCCAAAACCTTGTGCCAAACCACGGCTTAACGGCGGGTCCTGCTTGTAAAATCCTTCCTCTAATAAGCTGGGATCGAGGCTGGTACCCTCTGCTTCTCAGTCGTGCTTCCGGACTATCCTACTATGCCTGTTTGCTAAAAATAAAAAAAATTAAAAGTCAAAGCTCGCTTGAGACTCGGCTGGAAACCGAGTTTTCGGCATCCGCAAGAACGCCATCACCCTCTAGGATCAAGGCGCAGATGCAGCTCCTAAAGTGGTGGGAGGTGAGTAGATCAGACGCACCACAAAGTAGTCAAAGACCGAAAATCCCATTCACTGCATCCATGCAGTGAATGCAGTGATGCAGCAAGCATCCTGTTTGCTAGTATCATGAGAAATACAAGGGATGAGAGTTATTACTGCATGTATGGCGGTACCGTCCATAGCACTGTAAGCAGCTTAGTGGCCTGCCCTGAATGCTGAAATGCTAACAGCACTGGATTCAACACACACTTTATTCCTATAACCATCAGCTTACCTTTGACCATGTGATGTTGGAAATGGGAACCTGCGGGTCTCCTCTGTACGTAATGTTGACCTCCAATGTGGATGGGCTATGCTGAATGCCAATCTCTTTCTGATGCACTGCTATAGCTCTCGGCAGGTCTATGATTGGGAAAAGAGAAGAAAATACAAAACAAGTTATGAAACAGCCTTAGCACTTAGCCAGTTTCTCTAGAGGCTCAATACGTAGACGCAGCACTTCCGAAATTTCAACCAATCCAGCTAGCTATGTGAACTGGAGCGGCTGCAGGACAGCAAGGAGGCAATCAGTTGCAATGCTACAAATTTTCGGCCAATTCAAATTGCGGCCTCCTACTGCTAAAACCTATTTCGGCCGGATCACATTTTCGGCCTGTACTGCTGCCGCCTGTACTGTCACACTGAACCTTGCAAAACTAAATTTCGGCCGCAACAAATTTTTTGGCCAAACATGACCAGGCCGAAAATAGGCGAAAATAAATATGCGCCGAATACTTGTTGACCTATAGTATATACTTTACCTTGAACTCTGAGAAAGATTTGATGCGACGTGACGCCAACACTGTTCAATCCACGGCATGTATAGTAGCCTTCATCCTGCTTGCTGATGTTCTGCAAGGTCAGATAGCTGTACAATAGGTATGGGTGTGTGCTGCTTGATACAGCCCGTGACAACGCGGTCACGTTCACTCCGTCATGTCTGATCCATGTGACGCTGGACACGGGAACACTCTGGAAGATGCAGGTCAGCGTGACGTTATCCTGGCGTTCATTGCTGGTCATGTTCACCGCGGAGCCGTTCAATAACCGTGGCTTCACTGAAAAGCAGGTACATAAAGACAAGACGGTGCGAGTAACAGCACAGATAATGAAGAAATATAAACATTAGAGCCGCAACGGGTAGGGATTTGGTCGGGTAACGAGTCCGGGTATTTCTATCCGGGTAGTACGGGTACCCTATCGGGTATTCTTGACATAGTACAGTGAGTGTGCCCTCGCGCTACATAGAAAGTGCACAGTAAGCACGTAGCCGTGCATTATACATGCAGCATTGCAAAAACACGTAACTCCAACTACTGTAAAACCAGAAAGTCTAACGAGTCACAAAGTCTAACGTTTTAACGACCAATTATTTTTTGTTTTTTGAAAAATACGTTATCGCTAGATGTCTATGTAAAGATGCGCATACAGATGGGTGGCCAGGTAGCCATTGTTAAACTTTCTGCACGTAATCATGCCAAAATTACGAAAACGTTAAACTTTTTACTATCATTTTAGTCGTTAGACTTTCCGGTTTTACAGTACCCAATCGGGTTCTTAGGAGCAAACTTTTACACGAATACCCGCTCAAACTATGGGTGGCACGGGTACCCTACTACCCGAAGACACCCTAATAAACATGAAGCTTGAGGTCAGTCAAATGAACTGGCCACATGTATTTGTGTCCCAGCATGCCTCACTCTGAGCATGGGAGGAACTCCACAGAACAGACAACTATACAAACTCCAGAAGGACAACTTCATTATTTCAAAGATCCAAGGTTTACTTAGATGCGACTTCGGGTGAAGTGAATGGCCCGGCAGTCTTCTCATGTGCTCTAGACAGCAGTTGTGAATCAGTCCAGTATCACTCAGTTGACAGGAAGTGCGAGCTCCAAGGTTTGGACTAGCCGCCTTCTTACCAAGATTACCGGTGATGGAAAAAAATGATTTTTGTTTTTTGCAGAGGAGAGCAGCACACACAAGTGTAGAGCATCAGTGTAACACATCACTACAGCAGAGACTCACTGACCTTGGACTGTGACCTCTCTTGTTACAGCTGTGCTGCCAAGGAAATTTTCCACGGTGAAGGTGATGTTGTGCAGAAAAACTGGGCTGACGGCAGCAACTTGACTCAGATGAAGCTCAAACGTAAAGGACGGCACCTGACCGGAAAGAGATACTCTGGTTGCTGTTCCCACTGCAAGCTTTGGAGCGGCCGTCCAGTTGTATGTGGGTTTGGGGTTAGAGAGAAAAGAGAACTTCGCGGTCACATTACTGCCTTCGATGGCTTGCAATCTGTTGAAAGTAGCAGACTGGAGATTAGGTCCATCTGCAACAGCAAACACGCGTACACACAAAATACACACACACACACATGCACACCAGCACGCACGTGCGCGAGCGAGCGAACACGCACATAATATTGATGTCTTTACAAGAGAGTGTTTTATTGATTCACGTGGTACCTGTGGCAAATAGTGGTACGGTCAATACCATAGTGACCGTAGCGTGTCCACACCCCTGCCTGTGCCCTCTGTTTACGCAAAAGGTACCACATTTTCACCGTCACAAGTTCTCCATCATGCCTCAACGAGCACACAGAACTCTTCTCGAAGTGCAGGCTAGGTAACAGCTACCTACTGAATGAAACGCTGCTTGCCGTATCCTGGGTTAATTTTCAGCCATTGAACAATGTCTCAATTATCACCACCAAAACACACCTGATTGAGGGTTCTAGCCAAAGGAAGGTGGGGAGGGGGGGGGGGGGGCTGCCAAGCTGCTCACTTGTTGATTATTGTGCTTTTCCAGGCCAGTATGCACAACCAAGCACGCAGACCCACAAATCCGAGCAAAAATACACATATAAACATAGATAATTTTTTGGTTGGAGGAAAGCAAATCAGCACACGAAGCACAGAAGCCATATAATTTTTTCGCTAATCACCATTGTATTCGACCTGAAGAGTAATGGAATGAAAGGCCTAGTCGAACAAATTATATGGCTTCTGTGCTTCGTGTGCAAACATACATAAACACATACTTGCGTTCCTTGTGGTGATGCAGGGAACACTTAAAAAACTTAACCAAGTACATGGTCCCCAGTGTGAATGTGGCAAGTACATGCACACTGAACTGGCAGCTGATAGAAATCACTTACAGAACACAGTCAAGTTGGCAGTTGCAGCGGAACCAGGGGGAACGCCATTCTGCGCAACACACTTGTACACCCCGTTGTTGCTGGGATGAAGATGCTTGAGAGTGAGGATTGAAGTTATACCGTACGTCAGCTTGCTGGACAGGCTCGCATCGATGTAGGCCGTAATGTGAGACTTATTTACGGGCAAAGGGCTGGAGTCATGGTACCAGGCGATGCTGGGAACGGGATTACCGCTTGCGGTGCACGCAAATGTAGTCGTTGTGCTTTTGTTAGCACTGTGGCTAAACGGCAACTTGAACACCTTCGGAGGCACTGTCAAAAAGAACGCAGCATGGGCAGGGGTATTAGAATACACATCATACATTTCGTGGACAAGATGACTACTGGAAGCCTTGAATGCACCTTATATTCCAACCGTTTGGCAGCCTAAAACAAGTACTATATCTTCACTGTCCTTTTAAAATAATGCACACCTTTACTAAATATTTGCCAGTCGCTCCCCGATATTCACAAACGAACCAGCATTGGAAATGAAACTGCAAGACAGCCAACCACCCCAGGAACACGGCAAATATCCACAAAATGTCTACTCGGTATTGCCGAGAATGCGGCTCACAACAGAAACTGCCGGTGACAACCTCCTTCACCAAAGTTTTAACAGCAGCTATTCCATTCCAATTCATGACATTAATTGCTGAAGAACTCAAGCAGACAACTCGTCTCCCGAACAAAAATGGACCATGCTTGAGTATCATACAAGGTCCTGGAGATATACCTACTGGGTGCAGCACGCAAGACTAAACGATGCTAACTCAGGCCCCGCGGAACCGGTCCGGTTGGTCAGGCCATGGCCGGAGCAACCTTTTGGTCACCAACGTGTGTTTACTGCTGAGGAGGCCATGTGTACACCGTGGTATACCTTTCATATCATAACCAAAGTAGGAAAGACTAGGGTGTGCCGGGACCAATCAAAAACTGCTTCCCTTGGTCGTGTTTAAAATGGGCCATGGTGAACTAGTAATAAAGTACCTTTGTATGTGATGGTAAAGTTGACAACGATCTCACCAGCCAGGTTCCCTATCTTCACTGTGTACCGTCCTGCATCCCAGAACTGAACTGAGGGTATGGTAACGTAGAGACGATCCAGTGAAATGTAACCCGCTGCTCTTGTCTGCCATGTGCTGTTGCCAACCTGTAGAAAAGACAGTGAAGTGGTCGCATGAAGATGGTACACTAGAGTTACACTAACCTGGTCGTAAGGCAATTCCACAATAGTTGCCATAGTGTAGAGTGTTCAGGCAACTCGCATACACTCTACTAGAGATACACTACACTGATCAGAAGGCAATTCTGCTATAGGTGCCATAGTATAAAGTTTGCAGGCAACTTGCCTACTGTAGAGTGGATTCATATTTTTCAGATGACTGAATGCGAGTAGAGAGTGATCGTGACAAATAAACAGTGGAACCAACATGGCCAACTTCATGTGACCCATGTGTGCAAGGATTGACTGTTGTTGGAACTAACATGGCTGTCCGGCATGGTCATGCGATAGATGTGAACCCACTCTGTTCCTGACACAACACACTTCATTACACTTCCTGTACATGAGCTTGTACAGAGTGACATCACACTATCACATGATCATTATGTGACAGCCATGTTGGATCCAACTCCAGTCAACCATTGCATCCATGGGCAACATGATGTTGGCCAAATTGGTTCAACTGGTCACATCCCATGACGATTTTCTACACAAAATTAGCAGCATGACAAAGATGTGAATCCATGCTATGTGACATAACCATAGGATAAGATGACTCTTTCACATCCCAGCCACAGATAGGAAATACGCTGCACGAATGTGCTAAAGTTTACCTTTGTCCAGGTGATGTTGTGTGTGGGCACAGTCGGATCCCCAGCGTAGACCATATTCAATGCTATTATCACACTCTTTCCTTGAACACCGTCTTGCTTTTCTGCTACCGGCATAGCGCTGGGCAAGACTGGATACACAACAGCCAGGAATGGACTTACAAGCCATGCGGATAGATTGAACAGTGCAGTGTTTCCAGTTCCAGTGCTGCATGCAGATTCAGCTAGTCATCTCAAAATATTGAATTTCCATGAAAACACGGTTTGGGCACTGACACCCTGATTTAGAGCGCAGCTGACTTTGGCTACATCTCATAATCTGACGATATCGAAGAACATGTAGCATTTCTGTCTTGGTCGAACATCACTACTTCATTAATGATGTCAACCATACACTACTCAGCTGTCACTTGCACAGTACTCAGTGAACTTCACTACTCCGGTGCTGATGTCCCCCACGCACACCTCAATGGATATAGTGACTAAAATTTGTTTGGAACCAACTTATGCCAATATTATGCATATATGTACAGCACAGCACACTTTGTGTAGTAGCACATTGTACACTCAGTTGTGTCTCAGGCAACATGGCGCTCTGCATGGCACAAACAAAACGCCCTCCTAATACTGGTTCACGCAAGACAGGCGTTCGCTGTATCCGGTGCAGTTTTTGTGTAGAACTCTTCCTGCATGGAAAACCGTCGTTAAAAGCAGGTGTTTGCTATAACCATTTTTACTGTAAAAGTTTTGTTCCGCAACCGTGACAACTCTATAGCCGGTTGTAATCTGGATGTGCAAACTTTACTTACTAAACTTTGCTTATAATGACACTCAGCGGGGCATCAAAAAAGTGTCTTTATTCGCGAAGTGTTGTTATACCCGAAGTCTCATTGTATGTATACAGGTAGATGGGACTTTGCTCTGGGCATGGAAATTCTGTCGTTATTCAGGAATTGTCGTTATATCCGCAGTCGTTATTAGCGAAGTTGACTGTACGTCATTGGAAATGACACCCAGGCGCTGAGAACGTATATTTACATATACGTTCTCAGCTGAGAACGTATATGTACGTCTTTTTCAATGCCAAATAGGGAGTGCAGAGCCTGGGTTCCATGATCTGTTGCCTTAAATGGGTTAAAAATATGTGCACCCTTCGCAAATATGCGAATGGGATTGTAAGCAAACTTCGAAGTTGACTGCACGCACCTTGTACTCTCAGGAACACGTTTGTGGAGACTGAACCGTAACTGGTACGACCTGTACACATGTAGCTACCCTCCTGTTTCTTTGCGATGTCCCGCAGCACCAGGTTGCCATGGTAAACATTGGGCGTGGAGGTGTTCACGATCACGCTTCCCAAGGCGCTCAGATCAGAGCCGGTAGGACTTAACCAGGTGATGGTGGGTGCTGGCCGAGCACGAACTGTGCAGGATAGCTCCACTCTGGCGGTGTGCTCGTTTGTGGTTGTACTCGGGCTGGACAGGTTGGCAACAAGCTCAGGTTTTACTGAAACAATACATGCATACACGAGTGGGCACACACACACACACACACACACACACACACACACACACACACACACACACACACACACACACACACACACACACACACACACACACACACACACACACACACACACACACACACACACACACACACACACACACACACACACACACACACACACACACACACACACACACACACACACACACACACACACACACACACACACACACACACACACACACACACACACACACACACACACACACACACACACACACACACACACACACACACACACACACACACACACACACACACACACACACACACACACACACACACACACACACACACACACACACACACACACACACACACACACACACACACACACACACACACACACACACACACACACACACACACACACACACACACACACACACACACACACACACACACACACACACACACACACACACACACACACACACACACACACACACACACACACACACACACACACACACACACACACACACACACACACACACACACACACACACACACACACACACACACACACACACACACACACACACACACACACACACACACACACACACACACACACACACACACACACACACACACACACACACACACACACACACACACACACACACACACACACACACACACACACACACACACACACACACACACACACACACACACACACACACACACACACACACACACACACACACACACACACACACACACACACACACACACACACACACACACACACACACACACACACACACACACACACACACACACACACACACACACACACACACACACACACACACACACACACACACACACACACACACACACACACACACACACACACACACACACACACACACACACACACACACACACACACACACACACACACACACACACACACACACACACACACACACACACACACACACACACACACACACACACACACACACACACACACACACACACACACACACACACACACACACACACACACACACACACACACACACACACACACACACACACACACACACACACACACACACACACACACCTCAGACCTGCCCATCGCGGAAGCGATGATAGCGAACAGCTATATTAGACATAGCAACTTGTGCTGGAATTACACCATTCAACAGGTGGCAAGGCTGATGAATTGACCGCCACTAATTTTAGCCTGGTATCCACCACACAGCTGATTGAAGTGGCTTATTCTGGCCAGTGAATCCCGATTTTTCATTTTTCCACACACACACACACACACACACACACACACACACACACACACACACACACACACACACACACACACACACACACACACACACACACACACACACACACACACACACACACACACACACACACACACACACACACACACACACACACACACACACACACACACACACACACACACACACACACACACACACACACACACACACACACACACACACACACACACACACACACACACACACACACACACACACACACACACACACACACACACACACACACACACACACACACACACACACACACACACACACACACACACACACACACACACACACACACACACACACACACACACACACACACACACACACACACACACACACACACACACACACACACACACACACACACACACACACACACACACACACACACACACACACACACACACACACACACACACACACACACACACACACACACACACACACACACACACACACACACACACACACACACACACACACACACACACACACACACACACACACACACACACACACACACACACACACACACACACACACACACACACACACACACACACACACACACACACACACACACACACACACACACACACACACACACACACACACACACACACACACACACACACACACACACACACACACACACACACACACACACACACACACACACACACACACACACACACACACACACACACACACACACACACACACACACACACACACACACACACACACACACACACACACACACACACACACACACACACACACACACACACACACACACACACACACACACACACACACACACACACACACACACACACACACACACACACACACACACACACACACACACACACACACACACACACACACACACACACACACACACACACACACACACACACACACACACACACACACACACACACACACACACACACACACACACACACACACACACACACACACACACACACACACACACACACACACACACACACACACACACACACACACACACACACACACACACACACACACACACACACACACACACACACACACACACACACACACACACACACACACACACACACACACACACACACACACACACACACACACACACACACACACACACACACACACACACACACACACACACACACACACACACACACACACACACACACACACACACACACACACACACACACACACACACACACACACACACACACACACACACACACACACACACACACACACACACACACACACACACACACACACACACACACACACACACACACACACACACACACACACATACATACACACATATGCACATGTACATACACACGTGCACGCGCACACACACACACACACACACACACACACACACACACACACACACACACACACACACATACACACCTTTTGACCTTTTGACGCCCATCACCAGAGGCGATGATAGCAATGCTACGGCAGAAGCCATAGCAACTTGTGCTGAGATTACACATACACACACACACACACACACACACACACACACACACACACACACACACACACACACGCGCGCGCATGCACGCACGCACGCACAAACCATGCTGGGGCATCAAAGCAAAGCGATCTACAAGGAACCAAGAGTGCACAACACCCCAAGATTGTGCAGCTCCAGTCTTTTGAACGTCTTTCACCCACATACTCCGGACGATGTCCGTACTAAGCAAGAGTATGTCTTATCAGAGAGTAAAACAATTTCAGTGTCTGCTCCAGAGCTGGGTCAGCGGGGTCAGCGACCCGGTTGGAGGGTACTTGGACCCGTTTGGAAAAACGTCGGGTCACCTGTGACCCTGTTGGGAATACACAGCAGGGAGTCCTATTCTGTACAGCAGGGAGTACTATTATGTACACCAGGGAGTCCTATTCTGTACAGCTTTCAGATGTACATGTAGATGCAGTACATGCAGTAGCCGCACTTGGACGGATCCGGCTCTGACCCGGTTCTGACCCGGCTCTGACCCGGTTCTGACCCGGCTCTGACCCGGTTGGAAGAGTTGTGCCAGGTCCATGTGTACCCGGTTGGTTTGAAATCCTAGAGCAGACACTGCAGAGCTACTGTTAAACCGGAACGTCTAACGACCAAAATTTTTAACGTTATTTGTAATTTTGCCATAATTACGTGCAGAAAGTTTAACGATGGCTACCTGGCCATCTATCTGTATGCACGTCTTCACGCAGATATCTAGCAATAATGTTTTTTTTCAAATAACGAAAAATAATTGGTCGTTAAAACGTTAGACTTTGTGACTCGTTAGACTTTCCGCTTGTACAGTCTGTACTAGGCGACTTACAGAATATTCACTTACTGAAAACAGTGATTACAGCTTACACAATATTCACTTACTGAAAACAGTGATTACAGCTGATGCACTGGCACTCGGCGGGAACGTATTGGACGCCAGGCATTGGAATCCACCTTCGGCCTCTAAGCCAACGGCGGCAATGGTCAGATTTGACTCGACCGCAAATAGTTTGCGTTGGCTGATTGAGGAGGTGTTGTACGGTGCAGTAGCAATACCGGTTGCGGGAATAGTGATCGATGGATGCGTCCATTGCATCGTTGGGCGTGGATTACCCGTGGCAACACACTGCAGCTGGAGTGTGGTGCCCTTGTTCAATGTCACAGCTCTGGGTGCTGTCACGATCAGGGGTGGTTCTGCATGGGTAAAATCAGCGCAACAAAAAGGGAAATTTTCAGTCACACGCCACTGCTGTGCGGTTCGAACCTCTAACCATGAAAAGGTCTGGACATATCAACGCCAGCCTTTTCTGCAGTGCTAATGTATAAACGTTTATTATGAAAATGAAGTTTGTGGCTCCTACGTGAAACATGTAGGAACGGTGCGGTGCTTTCATCCAGGTTTGCAAAGTGGAAAGTGCGAGGGGCTCCTCATGTCCACTAGGTGGCAGTCTTGAGTTAGTCAAGTCCCACCAAAGCAGGTGTTCCACGCAGGATAAACCAACATCATCTGCTCATACCGCTTAAGCCGCTTCATCTAGGTTTTTTGTTGTCACAAATAAAGTTCTATCTCCAAATTTAATCACGGTTGGGCGAACTGCACAACCTAGTGTTCGCTGCATTGAGAGTATACCTTGCAAACAAACCGAAACTCTGATCCTTGCTTACTGCAAATCAAACTTGGCAATGTCTAGCGCAGACGCTACTGGGAATTCCGTAGACGTGCTTCGTTCAACGAATCACTTATAAACTATAGGACTTTGTAACTAAATTTCAGCCATGTCATTGCACTGCAGTCTACACACGATCGCCTTTAGCCCTGGGCTACAAGACTTGGAATATTATCTCCTCCAAAGTTTCGCCCAGGAGAGCATCATCAGGGTTAGATAGTTATGGATACGGGCCCCAATACACAAAGCACTGAAGTTCATATAATTTTAAAAAATAGAAGAAATCACATGGAAGCGAGTTACGAAGCAACTATCCATGACTGCAACAAGATAATAAGTAGTCAGAAAGTGCGATAACAGAGCATAAAACTAGTTGCTTCATAACTCGTTTCATTTTGATTTCTTCTATTTTAATTACATTCAATTTTACTGGCTCAGTATCCGAGTGAATTTTGCACAGAAGTTCATAGTAATAATTTTTTAGAGCAATCATGTGAAGGAAAATGTCCCCTGTGGCGAGCATTGCCCTTCATATTTTGAACAGAACCAACAGTGGTGTCGAAAGATTAGAATTCCCAATCTCTCGATTTATCAACACAGGTCACAAGTCCGATCTCACCTCTACAGGTGGCACACATCATAGGACAAATGAGTCTGTAGTAATCGCTCTTTCCAGAATAATACTAGAGAACAACAAAACTGAAAACCACTCGTGTCCAAAAAGAGCAGCATCACCCACCCCCGTGGGAGAAGAAAAACACATTCGCAAAAGCGCGCCAAACTGTGCTGCATGCACGTGCCTTGACAAGTACATGTACAGTCATGCATACGTGGGCCAGAACAAGTCATACAAAGCACGGGAACGTGGGCATGGAACTAGCGTTTTGTACTGAAACAAGAACAGGCACAAACATGATACAAATCGCGCGACAAGGTCGCCGCGACACTCCAGCCGACCGGGAATGTATACTGGGAGGTAACTTATAGAGCATAAGCAATGCAGATACACACGCACACACACACACACACACACACACACACACACAGCAAGCAGTTTAACAGGCATACAGAGAGTTTTATGTGCTTGTGAGGTCACTGCCAATTGGACCAAGCACCACTTAATCCTCACACTTTGACACGGTCAAACTTATCAGGCGTGTGGGATGTGTACGTGCAGCAATGATACAGCTGTCCACTTTGCAATATTCTGCCGGGCCTTGTCAGCTGCCGCACGAGTTGGTCGCTGGGGGTTGTCAGATGCTGGTGCAGTAACTGGCACCTCACTTGCAGTTTCCGGGAGTTCCGTTGGGACTTGGCGACACTCAAGGCCGTACAATTTGCATACTGGTCGATTGACCTCCTTGCCTGTGCTGGTTATAATGCGGGCAGCCCGGACGGCGCCGTCGGTCTGGCTCTTCTCTAGTGCGACAACACGGGCCAGCTTCCACATGCATCTTGGAGCCGTCTCTTCGTCAACGAGGACAACTTCGCCCACACTAGGTTCCGGTGGGGGTTTGGGGCAATGTTGCCGTTTGGACGTGTGAGCCATCCGCTCTTGGAGCACTTGGAGGTAGTCTGTTCGCCACAAGCTCCAGAACAGTTCGCTTTGGGTCTGCCTGTGACGCCACTCGGTGAGCAGGGATAATGCCGGGTCGGTACTTGGAGGTGTATACTCGGGGTCATCCAGCGCAGTTGAAAGTGGCAGAGCAGCTGGACGACTTCCAAGGAGGAAGTGAGCAGGAGTCAGTATCTCGACATCCCTGCCCTCGTAGTCGGCGGTGACGGAGGTAAGGGGTCTGCTGTTGACTTCCGCTTCGGCTTCAGCTAGAAGAGTGGCGAGCTGATCAAGACGGAGGTGCTGACGCCCCAGTGCCTTCCGTAGGCTCCGCTTCACTAGCCCCACCATTCTTTCGTACACTCCTCCCTGCCAAGGTGCGAAGGCGGTTGTGAATTTCCAGGTGATACCCTGGCTGGTGAAGTAGTTGGCAACACCAGGGTCCGTGGCGACTGTGCTCCACAGCTGGTCGAGCACACCACTGGCTGCTTTGAATTGCGATGCGTTGTCTGAATACAACAGGCGGGGTACCCCTCTCCTGGCCACGAATCTCCGGAAACAGGCAATGAACTGAAGCGCTGTCATATCAATGACCCACTCGAGATGCACAGCACGTACCGCAAGACATGTCAAGAGGCAAACCCAGACCTTGGATGTTGTAGTGCCATCGGCTTGCTTCACCAGTATCGGACCAAAATAATCGAGGCCAACATACTCGAATGGGGCTGCTGGAACCACTCGTTCCTTCGGTAGGGCTGGAGGGGACGGCAGCTTGTACGGTGGTCCTTCATGCCTGCGGCAAACGGTACAATTTCGGAGGATGGAACGAACCGCTCGGCGGCCCTGCGGCACCCAGAAGTTGAGTCGCAAATGGGCTAGCGTATGGGCTGTGCCGGCATGCAAGAGGCGGCAGTGAACGTCAGTAATGACGAGTCGGGTAAGCCGGTGAGTAGCTGGTAAGAGAGCCAGGGCCGGATGACCAGCCAATGCAAGTCGCCCATGACAAAGTAGTAGGCCGTGATCATCAATGGCGACGCCAAGTTGTCCGCGGATGGGGCAATGGTTGTTGGTTGCGAAGCTCTGGAACACATCAGCAAAGCATTCAAGCTGAGCCATCCGAATGAGTACAGCTAGAATGAGACGCCGAGAGGCCGCATTGAGATGCGAAGATGAGGCTAGAGCGGTCAGCAATGAACAGAGGAGGGGGTGAGTGGTTCGTAGGCGAGACTGACTGACCGGCAACAAACGGGACCAGAGCCGCTGCTGGATGAAGTTACAGACGTAGAAGCTGATGCGAATAAGTCACTCTAGCGATGACACCCGGTCACAGATAGTGGTGGCGATGGCAGGCCGTGACTGGGGGAATGCTGTGGCGATTAGCGTGGCACCATGCAACACCTTCGGTCCACGAACCTCAGTAGCAGCAAGTTCCATAACGTCAGGTGTGACGACTAGTTTCTGTGGCCACTGGGAAGGCTCCTGAAGAAGCCAGCGTGGACCCTTCCACCAGAGTGTGCTAGCTGTGAGTTGCTCCATTGTCTGAGGGCGTGTCGCCAAGTCGGCTGGGTTATCCAAGGTTGGTACATAGCAGTACGAGATTGACGTGTGGGAGCGCAACACCCTAATTCGGTTCTGGACAAAGGTTGACAGGTCACGTCGGGAGGCCAGCCAGTGGAGAACACACTTGGAGTCCGTCCATAACGTTGTGGACGAGATCGGCAGATGAAGTTGGTCATGGAGAAATCGGGATAGTCGAGCACCGATTGTCACACCAAGTAACTCCAGACGCGGGATGGTCAACGAAGCAGTGCCGCCTGCATCGAGTTAGGGCATCGGAGCCAAGCGCAACTTGCTGTAGATGAGTCCGCTGTGATGCACCTCACCAACGGAGATCCGTAAATACGCAACAGCAGCATATACCTCGGCTGATGCGTCTGTGAAGATGTGTAGTTGAACATCTGTCGCGGTGGCAACCGGACCACAGAGTCGAGGGACAGGTAGTGACGTAGCGGTTGACATCATAGTCGAGATAGCTGCCCACCTGTCGGCCAGATGTGCTGGTAGCGGCGAGTCCCAATCAAGCTGAACTTGCCATAATTCTCTCAGGAGGAGTCGGGCCTGAAGAGTGATGGGTAGTAGCAGGCCAAGCGGGTCATACAGGCTAGAGAGACCGCTCAGGATAGTGCGCTTGGTGACAGGCTGAGACGGACACCGCAGCATCTTACTCTCTGGGATGGTAAGAACATCGGCATGTGTATCCCAGAGGAGACCGAGAACCTTGGTGCGACGGGAGGTGAGAAGATCATCTTCAGGGAGAGCGGCACGAACCACGGCCGAGCTGCTGGTCCATTCACGTAAGTTCATTGACGCCTCGGCAAAGATACTCTTGGCCTGGTCGTGGACGGGCAATGCTTCTTCATCGGTCCGGACACCAATGACAACGTTGTCGACGTAGATATTCCTGGCAATCGTTTCAGACAATGGCGACGGGTGGCGCTGTAGGTGATGGCGGATTGTGGCTTCCAATAGAAATGGGCTAGCAATTACACCAAAGGGCATTCTGCAGAACCGGTAAACCGCAAGGTTGTCCTTGGTCAGGTGAGGATTCGTAGCATCCCTGAGCCAGAGAAAACGTGTCACATCGCGGTCTTCCTTCCGGATACGCAGTTGAAGAAACGCCTTCTCGATGTCAGCAACAATGGCAACGTTGTAGCACCGAAAGCGCAGGAGCATACCACAGAGGTTGGGCAGACGGATAGGGCCCCGGTGCATGCATTCGTTCAGGCTTTTCGACTGCTTCGTTGTCTTCGCCGAGGCATCGTAGACAATGCGTAGCTTCGTGGTCTGTTTCGACGGCGTTATAACTGGCTGATGGGGCAAATAGTGCTGTGGCGTGCCCGTAGGCGGTGGGTTCGCGACAGGCTCGATGATCCCCAGGTCAACTTGCGATTGGATGACCTTGTCGTACTGCT